CAATAGACAACTATACTATCGAACGAGTGGATGCCTTTACATATCTCGGCACAGAAATCAATCAGAAAAACTCCGTAAGTAGCGAAATTAATGCACGTATTTCCAGCGGGAATCGTACATACTATGCTAATAAAAGATTGATGACATCGAAATTATTAGACAAAAGAACCAAAATGACTATCTACAGAACACTGATTAGACCCGTAGTAACCTATGGATGTGAAACTTGGGTAATGACGAAAAAAGATGAAGCCCAACTCAGGACATTCGAGAGAAAAATACTGAGGAAAGTATATGGTCCGGTACAAGAGGAAGATGGCACATGGAGAATCAGGAGAAACGACGAGGTTAATGAGTTAAATGAAGGTTATGACATTGTAAGATTTGTGAAAAGTCAAAGACTGTCATGGCTGGGACATGTGCAGAGACAAAACGATGCAAAAACAACAAAGAAAATGTTACAATGGAAGCCCATAGAAAGGCGAAAAAAAGGAAGGCCTAGAACGAGATGGTTGGATGACGTGGAAGACGACCTGAAAACAATGAACATAAGACAATGGAGAAGAAGGGCACAAGAGAGATCTGAATGGAAGGACATAGCCAGACAGGCAAAGACCCATCCAGGGTTATGATGCCAAAAGAAGAAGAAGAAGAAGGTGCTGCAAATTAGTATCAGTTATTCATTCTAATGTAAAAAGTTTTTTATTATTATTTTTTTATTTTTCTTTAAGTATTTTTAACTTTTAAAGCAACATTTCCACAAATTTTATTATAGTAAATAAAAAATTATACATTTACATAGCTATTTATTATTTTAATAGAAAACAAATAAACATGAACAGTGCACTGGTAGCATATACAATATATTTTAAATTTAATTTGAAACAAAAAAATAATATTCTACATAAACAAACAAAATTTAACCAAAAATTAATAGTAATTTTAAAAAACTAACCGGCACCGTCTGTACATCAACATATTTTATTGGAGACGAACGTTTTTCTCGTATTTGTCAATTTTACAATAATAATACAAGTATTTATCTGTTGCTGCCAGCGGCAAAATTCGTTTCGATCGTTCATTCATAATTTTTCACAATTCTCTTACCTGCTAAATTAAATATGCAACCAAACCATAATATTAAATCCGAGAACCCTAAAAACCTGTCGGTAAGGTTGAATGTCGGTCGGTGAACTTCTACTAAAACGGATCGATATGTATGTATCTATGTTTCAAATAAATATATATATTTTGGCAACATCTCGTGATACTGTATTGACGCAAGACACAATGATTTGACCTATAGGGAGTTAAAATGTCTGTTGAGTGTAAAAAAATAAATATATAAAAAAATCGATATATTAAAAAACTGACAACAATGTCAAGCCTAAAAAGATATACTAAACGAATATACATGACTTATAATTTGAATATGATAGTATTTCTTGGTGATGCTAAATTACTGCAACGTGAAAAGAGTTCAAAATGATGGTGGGATGTATATATATATATATATATATATATATATATATATATATATATATATACATTGCTGAATAAAAAAAATTGAGTCAGGTATATACCCAAAGGTACCAGAAAAAAAGTTTAATGCGAATTTTAAAAAGTAATCATAAAAAATATCAAGAATCTTTAAAAGTATAAGCTTTGAAAAACCATAAATTGCTTAAAAATAGTCGTACAACCTCGTACAATAGAATACAACCGTAACGGTAATTGACTTCTCTTCCTATAAAATGTACCATTCTATCTACCTAAAAGTTCGTAGAAAAAAGTTACAGAATTTCAAAACGCACAGTTTGAATGTATGATTGTATTTAGGAATTAAAGTGGGGAAGCAATATTTACGTTGAGAATTAAGGGGAGGTAATATGAAGAGAAGAAATCTTTTATGTTGAACCGTAGTGTAATTGTCTCTCTCGAACATAGATGGCGACACGGTTTTTGAGAACAGAATAGTTGCTACGTTTAATTTGTGTACGGCTGCAGATCTATTTGGATTATTCAATCAACGGTTCCATCATTTCGTTATTGCTGCTGGCTTCATTCGTTGATGGATTCGACCTGTCTGGTGTTCGGTTCACTTTTCTACTCCTGCTAAATATGTCTAGCTCTTCTTTACTTTTTCTTTTACTATCTTCATCCACCTTACCATCCGCCATCCTTCTTCTTATTCAAATAAGTAACGTTTTTATAAAATATTGGTAACGGTTACGGATCGCGACAAGCTCCGCACCTACCTCAACAGCTAAATTTTAACGATTGTCGATCCTAACACAAATAAGTTCAGCCTTTATAATTCTGTTTTGTTTTATTGAAACCTGAATAACAGACCTATTGTTTTGTTAATAATTATTATTGTTTATCGTTCTTAATCACCCGTCCAGCGCAAAAAATTCAACTCGTTTCGACAACTCAGAAGTATTACTTTTATCCGTAGGGCAATTAAAAACTAACTATTAATTTATTATTACAGCTCAAAAACAGATATCTGATTATTTACTTACATAAAGGTCCTTTTTAATCACAGTTTGCACTATTTTGTATGTAGATTACACTCGAAACCACAAAAATTGGAATTTAATTTCGGAGCGACATTAAGGCAGCTTTACATCTAGGCTATGCAAGTCTCATGCTATGCAAGTCCGTCTTGCATGGCACATCTCTTGCCTAGCTTGACCTTTTTACATCATAGATATTTCTGTCCAATTTTAGATCCCACTTTCATTGTTGCCAACAGAGAAAATATGTATCAATTTGAGGTTATTTTATTTTAAATAAATATAATTAAGTACTAAAATAAATAATATAATAAATAAATATACACTATTTATGGTTATTAAAAGGGTGAAGGATGTCAACCAAAGAAAAGAAAACATTGTTATTGTTGAATATTGCTGTTGTAGCAACAATCATGAAAAATAATAAAAAAAGAAAACCTAGAAAATGCTGAGTCAAACCTTGGTTGAATGCAGGACTGGGAAATTTGAAGTTACCCCAAGAATTCTGCTAGAGACCTTCAAAGTTTTAAAAACTTTCTTCGAATGAACGAGTCCACTTTCCTTAAGCTCCTGGATAGAGATAAGGTTATGTTTTATTCTGTAATCTATTATAAATTGTTATGTTGGCAACATGAATTTTAAAGATAAATTGCAAGAAAATAGCATGAAAAATAGAACACGTTCTAATTTTTCGTCTAGCACAGGAATTGCATGGAAATAGCCCGTGGGCATGCGCAGTTCCATGATCTGTCTTGCATGGCTCTTGCCTAGTATGAAAATAGCATAATGTAAAACTGTCTTTACACACGTCCAACTAGTACGATTGCCAGAACGATTTTTTGATGGGTATAAGTGTGGTTGAGTATTAAATACTGACTTATTAATAATTAAATATACCTTATTTACAATTTCTAAAACATCAAAATCTTGTCCATATAAAGCAGGTATACCTACAAAGCCACTATCACTCAAAAAACTCGCATAGAGAGTTGAATATATTCTTAATAATTATTATTTTTTACTAAAATGCCTACAAATCAACTAACTCTCACAAAAACACTATAAAATCTTCTACAAGCTTATTAAAGACGTCAAAAGTTAAAACATTGATAAAATTTCAATTATAAACAAATGTATTACAATGACGGCAACTCTCATTACTACGTCAACAGTAGGGGGAGTGGCCTGCGCAATATCATACCTGTTATTCTTTGTACCATGCTCTTACCCCATAAATTCACGAACAACAAATAAAACCAATCGCAAAGAATGGATATTCATAAAGTCCGTTTTACAGCTTGCAATTTTACCTGCAAGACGCAAGAAAGTTGCCCAAAGGCATGCGCAGTATGTCGTCAGCTGATTATTGCCTGCAACTTGTTGCAGTTGCGCGATAATCGGTTTGTGCCATTTTCTGTGCAAGTTTTCATGCAAGTCTAGGGGAATTTGTAGGAAGTTTGATTTTTTCACAATGTCAAATGTCATAATCACTTATTGACACGGAGACATGCCGATCAGCTGTTTCCTGTTTTGTTTATTTTTTCCTTTCCCACACATTTGTATTTAGCTTGGCTTGATTTGTAGATTATCGGCTTTTTCTAATTTTAATTAATACGTTAGAGTATCATCAAAAATTGAACTATCTTCTGCCGAAGTACCAACAATGTCTTGCATAGTCTTGGCATTACGAAATTTACTATCTATCTATCTAAATCAATCTATCTATTGAAATTAATTCTAAATATATCATTTTAAATTCTAATCTAAATCTATCGAAATTATTTCTAAATCTATCTATCGAAATTAATTCAATCTATCAAACTAAATCGACTAAAGTGTTTTAAATAAACAAGTAATTAAAAAAAATCATAAATAAGTTAGGTTAAGAGTAAAAATTTCAACATTAATTGCAAGCTGTAAAGTCGCACATAAAGACCCTGCAATAAATTGCATGAAAGTTAGTCATGCAAGAAGTTGCAGCAAGTTTTCTTGCAAGCTGTAAAGCGGTCTTAAGCGAAAGTCCTTATTTATTCTTTTAAATATTAAAAAAAAATCAACATTTCCAACTTCTTATGGGAGAAATAAGCTCCTCTCTTTAGGTAGTCCATTATGTATAGCATTTATGACATTTGCGTAAATATGCTTGGTGTATTTTACTATCAACTACTAAGCTCCGAATGCTTCGATCACACTCCAAAAATAAACTAAGATAAATATTAAAACCTTGAATCCAATTTATAAACAAGTCACTTGATAATTTATAAAAAAGTGCCAGACAAATCTTAATATCTATTTGATATTTTCAAAAGGGAAGGAGACAATATCGAGGCGTTATAAATAAAAAATAAAACACATTTTTAAACATAACTGCAAATATTGTTGTCATCGCATCTAGGTTATTATAACCCATTCCCATTATATAACATCTAATATCTAATAGCATTTTTCAATATTATATTTATATCTTTCACTATACTACAGATTATCCTAATTTGAAGAACGACAGTACTAGAATGGAACATTTTTCGTCGCTCTATGCAGTTCTGCATGATTTTTTTAGGGGAGAATCATTACCAAATACTGCAGAATTAATGGGAATGTATGGAAGGGTAAGTTATGCCACTATATTATATTCGTTATTTCTTATTCGAACTATCCTGACTCGGTTGGTTTAAATTAGAACAGTATTAGAGATTTATTGATTGATTTTTTTAGCAAACATTGTAAAAAACAAAATTTTATAGTTTGAAATACACTTTATTTTTTAGTATACTCTACCTGAACATCAATAAACTTGTTCCAATGAGATTCCAATTTATAAATTCCATCCCTGAAGTGAGAATCTGGAATAGTTGCAAAATACACTTTCACAGCTGTTCAGCCTCATCATTTGATGCAAAACGCTTTTCACGCATGAATTTTTTTAGGTATTGGAACAGATTTAAGTCGCGAGGGCCCAAATCTGGTGAATACGATGGATGCTCTATAAATTCGAACTTTATTAATTCAGGTATTTTAGCAATTGTCAAAATGCTCATAAGACACGGTGCATTGTCCTGATCAAAACGTATATTTTTTCTTCTGTAAACTGGGTCTTTTTTCACAAATTTTTTCTTGTTAATTCATGTAATGATTATTTGTTTGAAATACTATTTAGGTCACGACTTAGATTTGGATAAAATGCTATGTTAAGATTAGCATTTTAAAGTTTGTAAACATTTAAAATTTTCGTCAGTTCTTTGGTCATATATGTTTTCTGACAATTTTGAGTCCTTTACTAAATTACAGGTTAAGACTTATTGGCGCCCTCTATTACGCAGCTCCTAGAATTCAGTATTTCTTATCTATATATGATTATATTGATCTGCTATTTGATCACCTGAGCTGTTTTTCGTTACAAACTAATTAATCCTGTGGCCTGTACGAAGCCTTATTGGTAGTTTTAGGATCTCTTAGGTTCAATCAGTTGACCAATGAATTCCTCCTGCATATCACTTAGCACATGGCTATGGCATAGAATGTCTAAGTCTCTTCTTCCATTTCGCATTTTCTGCACCATGGTTCATTCACCTTTATATATTTTTATTATATTTATTATTATTATATTTATTATATTAACAACTTTTCGTCATATTAAAGAGCTGGTCAAGTTTATCTTCATCTCCTTCCTCTTTTACAGTTCTAACTTTACTGTATCCGCCAGAGGCCTGCGTAGCTGACTCGTATTTGAGGGCGGCGGATTAGACATCAACCAGCGTCTTGTGACGAGCTAATCGCAGTGTTCTCTGCATGCCATGATCACGAAGACCATCAATAAATATTTGAACGGCCAATTTTTCCATCATGTCTTCGGTAGCTCTTGGATAAGCATATCGTACTAATCTGGCAATATCTACCTCATATTCTTGAAGAGCCTCATCTGTCTCTTGTCTTCGATTTTTAAGCTGCTCCAAGTGTTCGTGGCCATATCGCATATTTAACCTCTTCTTGAGTTGTTCGAAATCATCCGTCTCCTCTACGGCTATGGTCTGGAGCACATCTAAGGCATCTCCTCGAAGAGCGATAGTCAGGTTTACAGCCTTTTCTTTTTCAGACCATCCATTCGCTCTTGCAGCTGTCATGTAGTTGTTCCATGACGATTTTTGAAGTTGGGACTTTAACATGAACAGAACCTTCACTTCATTCAAATTTCGGTCGTGATTCCAACTTACATTCGTCTCGTCTTCTTTTGTCTTACAAATTAATCCTTTAATTTATAATCTCACATTATTCTTAACTTCTTATTCTTAATCATAATCGAGTAATATTTTAATAATTAAAGTACATTCACCTGTTAATACATTGTCGAATAATATATTTTCGAGTTAAACTTTCTGAGTGTTGCAATTACCGCCTAGATTAAATTGTATTGTAAGCTCATAGTTCAAAGTTTGTTAGTATGATAGAAGCAATAACCTCTGTACTGAGGTATACAGTATTTGTGAGATTATAAATTGGGGATTTGAGCTTATGTGAGCGCAGTCTATTATAGATAGTTACCTAACGAATATCCTATGGTGTAATTACTAGTAGCTGTTTATAAAACCAACATTTTTCTCCACAACTTCAACTTTTTATTATATTTATCACCGTCTATCGACAAGAAGCGGACAAGGGGGCATTATAAAACGATTCGAACCTCATAACTACGTTCGAATTTTTCCAATCGCATTTTACAAATCAGCTGCATAATTCTGATTTAAGGCAATTACTCCAGACAACGAAGGAAAAATAGATAAAAACATCAATACTTCTAAATTTTAGTGTCAAACCGGACCTGTTCCGAATTCCAGACGATGGGCGAGGGGTGCGGGTTGCTCCCCCACTCACCGAGAAAAGACACAGTCCACTGCAAGCTTTAGAAGAGCAAAGACAATTTAAAAATATATTTGTGTATCGCTATTGTTTTAAAGTTTATAATAAAAACGTGAAATTCTCAAAACTTACACTATTTATTAACATAAAAGTTGGTTCTTCGACCGGATTTGAAACAAATTAGTTTTCAACCCGATTTGATATCGACAAATCGCTTTTTATTATATTGGATAAGTTACATTTATTCAATACAACAACAGAAAAATACCTGCATTGGACCTTTTACTGACGACAGCGGATTAACTTTGGCTGGACGTGCCATAAATCAAAGGTTAGTGTGCTTTCATTCTGGTGTCACGTTTGTTTCTATCTGACAATATTTACTGTATTTTATTCATATTCTAATTTGAAATTTTACTTACTCAATTTTACATTCATTTTAGAATAACGACACAGTAATTATTACAATCACATAGATTAACTTCATTTCAATAATCATTTTTAACATTTCTTTCATTAAACATATAACGATATATTTCAATTTGTCTTTACTAAAATACATAGGGTGTAATATTATACAAATTTAAAATGTCTTCTGCTAAAGTTACTCGTACTTCAATTAAAGCAACCCTTACTCGTTTTAGTAACTATTTTAACACGATTAAAGATTTGAGATGTGATGAAATCGACTTATACGAACTGCAACAGCGATAAAATAAAGCTGAAACACTGCTAGACGATTTCAACACAGCTCAATCAACAATTGAAGCACAAGATACTGATTTTGATGCTAATTGTGAGGTTCATTCCCGCGAGAGAGAGAAATTTGAAAACGATTTTTACAAAATTATTGCAGCTACTAAAAAACTAACTACTTCTCGTACTAATACCAATAATACACTTGATAACAATGATAGCATTAGCTCTGCAGAAAGTAATCTTTCAAACATTCGTTTACCACAGTTAAACTTACCAACATTTGATGGTTCTTTTGACCAATGGCTTTTCTTTAGAGATAGTTTTACATCCATTATACATGAAAATTCATCTATGTCTAAAGTACAAAAATTTCACTACCTGCGGCTTTCACTACAAGGAAAAGCAGCAGCCAAAGTTAAATCATTACAATTGTGTGACGCAAATTATGACATTGCTTGGAAGCTATTTAAAGATCGTTTTGAGGACAAACAGATTCTTATTAAAAATCACATTAAGGCTCTTTTTGATCTACCTTCTTTAACAAATGAATCTTATCATGGTTTAACATCAATTCGCGACGGAATCGAGAAGAACTTGAACGCATTAAAAGTGCTACAACGGCCTACTGAACATTGGGATGATTTAATTATATACCTTGTTACCAATAAATTTGATAACACAACAAAATGAGCCTGGGAATCGCGTACTGATGCAAAGAACATTCCAACATTGCAAAATTTACTCACTTTTTTGGAAGAACGTTATCGTATCTTATCATCATTAACCCAGCATCAGGACGAAGATCACACGAAACACACTGGATTGAAACAATCACATAGGCACACAAAATCATTTGTTTCTACCACTGCAACTACTTGCACTTTGTGCAATGCTAGTCATAGTTTGTACACTTGTGAAACATTTTTGAAATTAACACCTGTTGAAAAATTAAATACTGCGAAACGTCTGGAAAGACCAGATGGTAAAAGATCGACAGGAAGGCCTAGAAAAAGGTGGAAAGACGCAGTCAGGGAAGACCTGGAGAAGATGGAAGTAAGGCCATAAGAAATAATAGCACAGGATCGGAATCAATGGAAGGCAATAGTATACGCGGCAAAAACTCACGAAGAGTTGTAAAAGCCAATGATGATGATGTTTGAGGTTATGTATCAACTGCCTAGGCAATAATCACATAACACGAAACTGTAAGTCTTCTGGTTGTAGAAAATGTGGAAAAATCATCACACTTTGCTTCACTTTCAAAATAATGAATGGGAGCAGATTCAAGCTACTCATAGTACAAAAAACGATATTGGATCGATCCCCAGCACTTCAAATGAAATTTTTAGCTTGACATCTAGTATTTCCACACCATCTCAGACACTCCTTTCAACTGCTTGCATTACAGTGTTTGACAAATTCAACAATCCACATCAGTGTAGAGTGCTTCTTGATATTGGAAGCCAAATAAACTTAATTTCTGACAGACTTGCAAATATTCTACAATTGCCTAAAATTCAAATTGATAGTTCCATATCCGGAATAAATCAACTGCAAACTAAGGTTACATACTCCATTTCTTTACTGTTCAAATCCAACATCAACAATTTTCAAAGACGTATAACTTGCGTTGTCTTAACTCACATTACTGGTAACTTGCCATCCTTGCCAATTAGTACTAACAAACTAAACATTCCAGATATTATTACTTTGGCTGATTCTGAGTTTAACAAACCTGCTCCTATTGACTTACTGATAGGTGCAGATATATTCTGGGATCTATTAAGCATAGGGCAAATTAAACTGGGACATAATCTACCCATATTACAAAAAACCAAGTTAGGTTGGTTAATATCTGGACCTATACACACCAAAAACAATACATATACAAGTTTGCACTGTTCTGCAACAAACAACTTGGACAACCAATTTTCCAAATTCTGGGAAATAGAAGAGTATCCAAAAACTGAATTTTTTTCTGATGAAGAAAATTATTGTGAACAACATTTTAAAGAAAATGTAACTCAAGACGCAGATGGACGTTTTATCGTCACAATTCCACTCAAAAAATCAATTTCTGAGCTTGGAGACTCCAAAACTGCAGCAACTAACAGATTTTTGACATTGTAGCATAAAATACTTAAAAACAATGATATGGGATTTCAATATCATCAATTTATCAAGGAATACATTGATCTTGGACACATGTCTTTGGCTGAAGATGAAAATGACAGAAATGGTTTCTTTCTTCCACATCATTGTGTGCTTAAGGCTGACTCCACTACTATAAAACTTCGTGTCGTTTTTGATGGTTCAGCCAAAAGCTCGACCGGTGTTTCACTTAGCGACCTTATGTTGGTCGGTCCAAACGTTCAAGACAACTTATTTTACATATTACTCCGCTTTAAAAAACACAACTACGTGTTGAGCGCGGACGTAGCAAAAATGTATCGTCAGGTACTGGTACAAGAATCTCAACGTAACCTGCAAAAGATTCTATGGCGTTTCAACGCTAATGATAACATTCTAGTGTACACACTAAACACTGTGACATACGGATTAGCTTCTGCCTCTTTTCTTGCCATTAGATCACTTCAAGAGGCCGCTTATAGAAACATGAATAGATTTCCTAAAATTTCTAATATCATTTTACACGATTTTTATGTTGACGACCTCCTAACAGGTGCAGAAACTGTAAATGAGATTATACAAATTAAGGAACAAATCACTAGTCTCCTTTTAAGTTACGGATTTCCTATGAGAAAATGGATTTCAAATGATCCAGCTTCATTATCCAATGTCAGCCAAACTCCTTTGCATATTGGTGAAGGTGACCAAACCAAAACACTTGGTTTACTTTGGAACTCCAATGTTGATTGCCTACAATACTCGATTAGTGGTTCAACTCATCCTTTCAGAATTACCAAAAAGGCAAATCTTATCATCAACTGCACAGATTTTCGACCCTCTTGGACTTTTATCACCAGTTACTGTGACTGCTAAAATTATACTCCAAGAGCTTTGGAAGCTTAAAATATCATGGGATGAAACTGTACCTGCTGACTTACACACAACTTGGGCTAAATACTATACTCAATTACAATTACTGAATTCTATCAAAATACCACGACAAGTGTCTTATCCAAACCCAACCTCAGTACAATTGCACGGGTTCTGCGATGCATCACAGCACGCCTACGGTGCATCAATATACATACGTTGCTGTGATACATTGGGAAATTTTACTTCAAACTTGTACTGTGCCAAAACACGCGTCGCTCCACTCAAAACTTTAACTATTCCACGTTTGGAACTTTCTGGCGCTGTTTTACTGGCACAACTTGTTGACAAAGTATCTTCTTCTTGTCATTTTGACTTCCAAAACATTTACTACTGGATTGATTCCACAATTTGCCTATCATGGATCAATTCATCCCCACACATACTAAAGACCTTTGTCGCCAACAGAGTAGCAAACATTCAGCAACTGTGGAATGTCACTTCATGGTATTATGTAAATACTAAGGATAATCCTGCAGATTTACTAACACGCGGGATGACACCTTCTAATTTAGTTTCCTCAAATTTCTGGTTTCATGGACCTTCTTGGTTGGTTCAAACTGAATGTCAGTGGCCAACAAACAATGCGCAACAATCTACTATGATTCTTACAGAAAACCTTCCAGAAGTTCGAAACACTAGTTGTTCTTTTATTAACTCTGTCAACAAATTCGACGCCCATACTATTGAGTTAATCAACAAACATTTTTCATTTTTGAAATTACAGCGTATATTCGCTTATGTTTTAAGATATATAAGCAATCTTAAAATTCCTGAGAGCTCCTCTAGACAGCTGGGTCCTCTAACTGTCCTTGAACAGAATCAAGCGCTTTTCTTTTTGATTCGTACTATGCAGCAATACCATTTATCTGAAGATTATTACCAGTTGTCTTCTTCTAAACCTCTTTACAGAAGAAGCAAAATATCATCTCTACATCCTTTCTTCGACACCACACACAATGTAATACGTGTTGGAGGTCGACTGCAACATTCCAATTTTGATTTTGGTAAAAGACACCCAATTATTCTCCCTTCAAAATGTCACCTTACAACCATCATAGCACGTTCTGAACACATTAGACTTTTACATACCGGACCACAAGCTCTCTTATCAGCTTTGAGAGAGAGAGAGATTTTGGCCTCTAGGGGGACGCAACCTGGTAAAACGTGTGGTTCGTGAATGTATACAATGTTTTAAGGTAAATCCCAGACCTGAGTCACACCTCATGGGAAATCTTCCTGCTTCTCGTGTCACTCCCTCTCGGCCTTTTTCGATAACTGGATTAGACTATGCTGGTCCAATCCTACTGCGTGATCGAAAGGGTAGAAATTTCCAAACAACCAAAGCTTACGTTTCACTTTTCGTGTGCTTCGCCACTAAGGCTATCCACTTAGAGGTAGTCAGCGATCTCACAACTGAGTGCTTCCTAGCATGTCTACGTCGTTTCACTTCGAGACTTGGTAAATGCAATGAAATACATTCTGACAACGCGACTACATTTGTAGGAGCTAACAACGAATTAACCACATTTCTTCTCGCGCGAATAGCATCGCAAATGGTTTATCACAAGATGGTATTCAGTGGAAGTTTATACCTCCCAAATCTCCCCATTTTGGAGGTCTTTGGGAGTCTGGAATTAAATTCACAAAACAACATTTAAAAAGAGTAATGGGCAATGCTTTACTAACTTTTGAAGAATTTAATACAGTATTGTGTCAGATAGAGGCCTGCCTTAATTCTCGTCCTCTTTGTCCTCTCTCTCATGATCCCAATGACCTAATTCCTCTTACACCCGCACACTTTCTGATTGAAGACAACCTGATGGCGCCACCTGATAGCCAGATACTTGATCTGGCCGAAAAACGACTTTCAAGGTTTCAACGACTACAGTCAATGGTGCAGCATTTTTGGACTAGGTGGTCCAAATAACATGTATCCTCCTTACAAGCCCGTATCAAGTGGAAGACCAATTTTCCACAATTAATTAACATTGGCGCTATGGTCCTTATTAAAGAAGATGGAGTCCCACCACTAAAATGGAAATTAGGACGAATTTCCCAACTACATACTGGTGACGATCAAGTTATTCGTGCCGTCACAGTGAGGACTTCTACAAGTGAATTGAAACGTTCCGTGACCAAAATTTGTGTATTGCCGAATTAGTTTATTTTCTTTCGAACCCCTACAGTGCTTCAAGGCCGGGACTCTATGTTAGTGCCAAACCGGACCTGTTCCGAATTCCAGACGATGGGCGAGGGGTGCGGGTTGCTCCCCCACTCACCGAGAAAAGACACAGTCCACTACAATCTTTCGAAGAGCAAAGACAATTTAAAAATATATTTGTGTATCGCTATTGTTTTAAAGTTTATAATAAAAACGTGAAATTCTCAAAACTTACACTATTTATTAACAATACCTTTAACTAAAGTTAATTCTTTTTCTCAATGTACCATGTCCTTTCAGAACGTTGGTTATCATCATAGGTATCTTAATTTTATTCACTGCCACCCTAAATAGCATGTTTGTATCAACACCACACCAATCTCGCAAGTTCTTCAACCATTAGGGTCTTCTTCATCCTGGACTGCGTTTGCCTGCTATTTTTCCTTGCATTATATGTTGTAGCAACCTATATTTGGGACCTCTCATTACATATCCGAAATACTCCAGCTTTCTCTGCTTGATGCTTTTTATGATCTGAGTTAACAGTAAAGGTTTAAATTTCCACTTTAACGCCATGTATCTTTCTTAATATCAACATTTTATTAAAGCTAGTTGGCTTAAATCGGAATATTTTACAGTGCAGAATCTACTGTTTCTGTTTGTACAATTATTTAAGGACCACACTGTATATAAAATAGCCGTTAATGCAGAGATTCGTAGAATTCGGCCGGCGACCGTTGAACTCTCTCGAACAGCATGGAAAGGAGACAAGTTTTTATTGTAGGGGAACCTACTAGAATATACTTATTAGAAATAATATGTTTACAGTTTTATGAATCATATTTATCGTAACAATACCATACCTAATCCTTAAAATATTTTTAAATGATACACACACATAAATGTATTGCTTTCAGATATGTATAAACTCTTACAGTATCTGCAATCAAGAATTGCAAAGTTTGGGCACTGGACTCTATTTAGCGGCATCTGTAGCAGATCATTCCTGTCAGCCAACCGCCGTGGTCACCTTTGAAGGTACCACTTTAATTATGAGGGCATTGAATACTTTTCCAAATTTAGATTGGTCTAAGGTACGTACAAATAATATATATATATATATATATATATATATATATATAATATATATATATATATATATATATATTGGAATAATAATTCGATATACAAGAAATTAGCATAGTAATATTATGATGTTTAATTAATAAACTTACTTAAATAGTGGTTAAAGAAATAATTTATAAGTTATATTAGCGAATATTATTAAAAAATAATTATATGAGGGTATTTTTAAGAAGTTAGCATAATAATAAATGTTAAAACTTTTTTTTTTAATTATAAACATATTTAATTGAGCCATATGCATAGGCAACCAAATATACACGGTGTTATTTGACATTTGTTTGGTTGCAGATGTAAAATGGGGTTAAATATTAGTTTGGGACTTTAATTTAAATATAATTACGGATGTAAAATAGTAGTATATTAGTGTAAGATATTTAGTTTATATATATATATATATATATATATATATATATATATATATATATATATATATATATATAATAGTGAATTCTGATCTGAAAAAGCCTAAATGTCCATAAGGTTCTCACTAGAATTTTCTGGAAAACGTCAATACAGAAGCCAGTTAGCTCTATTTGCATAGTCGATGATTCCAGAACTTTCATATATTGATGAGATGAAGAGTTTCGAACATGATTTATTGCTGGAACAATCTGGAATGACGTAATGATATAAATACCAGGTAATTTGGAGCAGGCAGGCATTAAGTTACAGCGTTGATTGAATAATCCAAATAGATCCGCAACGCTTATGGAGAGAAACGTGCAACCCAAAAAATTAAAATTTCATCAAGAATCAGCGACTCTAGTGGATATTACGGGAAACAACTAGTTACGAATTTGCGCTCATACGAGAATGATCCTAGAAAGAGGTGCCGTTACATCTCCTATCGTCCCCTTCCACAACCAATTTATGACAGTACTTACGAAATACGAAGTGTAGTGAGTCAGAGAACTGGACATCACCCCAGCGTTATCTCTGATTTCTAAGAAATATGTCTGTGAAGCATTTAGCACTTCGCCAACGTTTGAATTTAATTTGTCGATATTATATTTTGTATACAGATATGATAAAGATCGACTGCAATGAAAATTATTTGATATGTAATTTAGAATGTTAATAATTATAAAATCAAGGGGTGCCCGATCTAATTTTGTTGTGACTATAATTAATTAATAATTTAATAATAACTTATTTTATAAAGAAAATTTTGCGGACAGATATTATTCTAGATTCATTCAAAACAAAAAAGTGCTTTTTTAATTTTTGTTCTTAAGCTGATTGTTTTCAAGTTATAAACAATTTAAAACAAAAAATAACGAGAGATGATGATCTTCAAGGCTTAGAATAATTAAGTTTCACTTCATTTTTGAAATTATGAAGTACCTAAGTTCAAGCTCAACATTACTTTATCAGGTCTTGATAAGTATTTTGGACTTTCATTTTAAATCATTGTTTTTTAATTATTAATGTAGCCCAGCCCAGTCTTCCCACAAAGAACCTTCCTCATTAACAATTAAAAAATATTTGCAAAAATTCAAAACATGCATAATATGGCAAACATTCTTATCGGGACTTGATACAAGAAATTTCGCATGTTTGTACTTGATGATTACAAAATTAATATTTTTGCTTGTGTTGTGAGCCTTGAAAATCGAAATTTTTCTTTTTTTCTTTTTAGTTTTAAATTATTTAAAACTCGAAAACGATCGACTTCAGAGAAAAATTACAAATGACCTTTTTTTGTTTCGAATGATAAAAATAAAATAAAATAATATCAGCCCAAGCCGAATTTTTATTATACTTCGAATCTCACCTGGGTGGAGAAATTTTCGTTTATTAAAAATTAATGAATGAAAATACTTTACAAAAACTTTTAAAAACATTGTATTTTTTTTCTGAAAAAACAAAAACTACAATCAACACTTTTACAGTTAAGATATACAGTAAAACCTCCCTTAAGCGAAACGTTTTTAACCGAATCATCGTTTGACCGAAACGCTGACAGTTTCAATAATTTCGTCAATAAAAAGTAAATTTTTATCGCAAAATGTAAATTCCATCAATTTCACTCACCGATTGATGCATATGTGTGTTGGGAAATCAAAAAACCAATAGCTCTAAAAGATATTTGAGAAAAAGCACTTCCTTTTTTTTATAGAAGTCAAAAAAGCTAATGGATGTCGACCACTGTATTTTCAGAATGGTTCGAAAATAAATTAGTCCCAAGCGTAAAATCCTTTTTAAAATAAAAAAACCTTCCTATCAAAGCATTGTTGCTTGTTGACTCAAAATCTATATAACAGTGATAATTGTCAGATTTTTGCCACCGAATGTCACGAGCTTAATTCAGCTGTTAGACCAGGGACTAATAGAGACATTCGAGAGACATTATAGAGGAGCATTCGTTATTACAGGAGACAAATGAATCCAAAAGTGTTCCTGAAATCCTCAAATGTTCAACAATGAAACATGTTGTTTATCGGTGTGCTGAGTTCTGGGCCAAGATCAAATCTTCAACTTTGGAAAAATGCTGGAACTAACTTTTTGATAGGATTTTGATTGACGATCCTGAAGAAGAAAATGGCAAAGAAACGACAGAAAAAATTAAATCTCTGATAAAAAATTTGCCGGGATGTGACGAAATTAAATAAGAAGAGATACGTGAGTGGTTAGCAGCCGACGATTTAGAAAGTGAATTCATCGACCAGGACATCATTGATATGGTTCCTCATCCAGACAACCTGAGCGTATTAAACGACGAAGATGACGACCCAACAGACAACAGGCAGCATGAGACCGCCGACGAGATTTTCAATGCTTTAAGGACAAGAATTTTATACAGTAGGCTTAATATGTTAGGGAGACGACTAGGTTCTTAATTTTTGTTATCATTGTATAAAGTTTTGTCCTTTTCAGATTGCTTTACGTTTCGTCTAACGATAAAATGAGGCAAATTCACGACGTTCTGCAAAGGAACGATGAAGATATATAGCTGCAAAATATCGTTGTCAAACGATAACATAAAAGAAAATAGAAGATTTCTTTAAAAAACTTAGGTAACCCTAATGGAAGACACGAAAATGGGGTAGGTATAATCTTAAATCAAGAAACTGCCAGACATGTTAAAAACTTTGTACCTATATCGGAAAGAATACTCCTCCTTCAACTTAATACCTACAAAATTACATCTAACATTATCCAGGTATATGCCCCTACTGCTGACAAACCGGACGAGATAAGTGAAGCATTTTGTAACGAACTAACGAACACCTTAAAACGCTTCCCCAGAAAGGCTTTAACTTTGATTATGGGTGATCTAAATGCCAAAATTGGTAGGAGACAATCGGGGGAGAATTCATAGGACAATTTGGACTTGGAGAAAGAAATGAGCGAGGAGACCGACTGGGTGAATTTGTAGCAGAAGAAGAGTTTGTGATTACTAACACTTACTTCAAACTCCCACACAGAAGATTATACACATGGAAATCACCTCAAGATACTCCAGGCTGCATAGTGAGAAATCAAATAGATTACATTCTGATTAATAAAAGATTCCGGAACAGCATAACATCAGTCAAGACATACCCAGGAGCTGATATCAAATCAGACCATAACCCACTGATTGGCAAAATTAGGCTCAGGCTAAAGGTCGATTCAGACACATCAGTCACGTCTCGTCACAGTCCTGGCGCCGAACCGAACAATCCGTCATACAAAATATTCTTTAATAGAAATATGGCGCCGGCATTCACATTCATCAGTTGACGAACAGTTTGCCAGCTGTCAGATAGTTGATAGTTCTGTGACCAAACAGGACCGGTTCGGCGCCGAGACTGTGACGGAACTGATGTGTCTGAATTGACCTTTAAGAGGGTTAGACGTAGTGTCAATCCAAAATTCGACATCAAGCTATTAAAAGACCAACACACAGAACATAGTGTAAAGCGGTATATACAGAACAATTTAAATACCGTTATTCAATCGGATGTAATGGGCCAGGAGCTAGAAAATTACATACAGTTTCAAAAGACATACGAGAGAAATTTCTAAAACCACCAAAAATTAAGAAGAAATCGTGGATGACAAATGAGATTCTAGATATGATGGAAGAGAGGCGAAAGTTCAAAGATCAAGACATGTCATTATACAAAAGAATCGATAAAAAGATCAAAAAAGCTATTAGAAATAGCTAAGGATACACATCTAAGAAAACAGTGTTCGGAAATACAGCAATTGCAACATAAACACGATACATTTAATATATACAAAAAAGTTAAAGAAACCGCAGGCTTATATATACCTAGAAGAGTTGGGTGTTTGGCAGATAACCAAGGCAAACAACTGTTAACCATGGAAGAAAAACTAGACACTTGGAAGAATTATGTGGAAGTAACCTTTGCAGATGAAAGGCAGACTACCATTGAAGACACTGAATGCCAAACAGGACCCTCGATTACCATTGAAGAAGTCACGTCAGCTAATAAAAGAACTAAAGATGGTAAGGCGGTAGGGCCTGACGAGTTTTGTGCAGAATTCCTTAAACTTATGGATGAACAGGGAATACAATGGATAACAACTGTATTCAACAACATATACGTAACTGGAAAAATACCCCAAAGCTGGTTAAAGGCGACCTTCGTGACCATACCAAAAAAAGTAAATGCCAAAACATGCGAAGACTACAGAACAATTAGCCCAATGAGCCACTTACTTAAAACGTTCTTGAAAGTGATACACGGCAGAATATATAAAAAATGCGAAGAACAAGTATCATGGACGCAGTTTGGATTCCGCGATTCCTTAGGCACCCGAGAGGTTCTATTCACTGTCCAAGTGCTTATGCAAAGATGCAGGGATGTTAACTGCGATGTGTATATTTGTTTTATCCACTACAAAAAGGCATTTGATAGAGTAAAACATGATAAACTTACAAACAGCCAATATTAAAGTGGATGATCAATTGACAGAGGCAGTCTCCATAGATAGA